CGCGCCCGAAGTCGATGCGGGACTTGTGCCGCGTCAGTCAGTTGGGGGGCGAGGAGTACCAGGCCCCGAGCATGACCAACCTTCCTACTGGCATGGCGGGAGCCCCCTATGTCCCTCGGTGGCCCGACCTCAAAGCGGACAGCCGTGTCTAGGCCGATGGGTCGACGGCCCAAGAGTTTATCCGGGGGGCGCTGCACCCGATGTTGGCCAAGGAACTTTACGGTTCCACCTCGCAGGTGCTGGCAGATCGGGCGGCCAAATCCTTGGTCTGGGTGAGTAGTGGCGTCCCTCCCTTTGTTTGCCCGCTACTTTATGTGGGTTTTGATATTGATCTTGGTGTAGCGCTAACACTACGTTATGGCGTTGATCGACCGAGTCCTTGACATTGGGCGGGTGATCGAACGACAATCGAGCACCTACGCCGCGCTTCGCCTCGAGAATCAAGAGTTGAGGCAATCGTTCGGCCCGGAGGCCGTAGTAGCGGTCGAGCAGCGCGCCTCGGCTTTGGACGAAGAGGTGAAACGCCTAAAGGGCGTGTTGGAGGAAAGCCAGGCTCACGCTCGAACACTGGATGATGAACTTCATATGCTCTCGAACGATATTGAGTCCGAGCGATCTTCCGCTTGGGCTGTTGAGGAGGCCTTGAAGGAGGAGCAATGGGCGCTACCTGAGCGGATAGAGAGGGCGGTTGCCGAGTACAAGGCATCTGCCGGGTTCGAGCGTGGCCTGGTGAGGTCGGGACGGGCGACATATGAGTTTGGATATCGGGTGGCCTGTGCTCGCGCCCGATCGAATCATCCAGAGTGGGAGCTGGAGCCGGACCCCTTCGCCGACCACCCTGCAGATGAGACTATGGATATGCCGGCAAGCGTTCCCTTCGATGACGGGCCTGAAATGCCTCCCCCGTGCTGACCTGTATTTTACCTTTTTTGTTTTTGGTCGGGTTGGCTCTTGGTCCTTGTATTGCCCACCTATTTCATGTATAGATCTTTTATATTGGAGATGGTTCATTTTGGCTATTGTCGTGTGGGTCTTCTCGTGACACATGCCTTGTCTTTCTTTATGGGTAGAACTTTTTCAGATTTGCTGCATTCCAGATCCTTGGTAGGTGGTTTCCCTCCATAGTTTCGAGTCGGTAGGTCCCTTCTCGGACCATGACGTAGACTCTGTACGGGCCCTCCCAGTTGGGCGCGAGCTTGCCTCCCGCTCGGGTCGGGTTGGTTACCTCTGCCTTTCGGAGGACGAGATCCCTGATCTTGATTGGACGGGGGTGGACTCTTCGGTTGTATATCCGTGCCACAGCCTTTTGTATGCTAGGGCGCGTAGGTGGGCCTCGGCTCTCCTTTCCTCGAGGAGGTCTAAGTGCGCTCTCAGGCCCTCCTCGGAATCTTCCTGCTTGTAGCCCGAGGTACGCAAGGTCGGGAACACCATTTCGGGCGGGAGGACCGCTTCGGTTCTGAACGCAAGGCTGAACGGTGATTCGCCCGAAGCAGTTTTCGGGGTTGTCCGTATTGCCCATAGAACGCTCGGCAGTTCGTCCACCCAGGCTCCGTGCACGCCCGTGATCCTCCTCCTGAGGCCCTCTTGAATTGCCCGATTCATCACCTCGGTCTGTCCGTTGGTTTGGGGATGTGCTACTGAGCTGAACTTCAACTGTATTCCATACGACGAGCAGTAGGTTTTGAATTTGGCGTTGTTGAACTGAGCCCCATTGTCAGTGACAATGGCCCTTGGGATCCCGAACCGAGTGATGATGTTCTTCCAAGTAAAGGTTTGAACTTGCTTCTCGGTGATGGAGGCCAAGGGTTCGGCTTCAACCCATCTCGTGAAGTAATCGACCCCGACTACGAGGAAACGTCGTTGTCCCGAAGCTGGGGGAAAAGGGCCGAGGAGGTCGAGTCCCCACTGGGCGAAGGGCCAAGCAGTTTCCATCGGGGTGAGAGGGACCTCTGGTTGATGTTGCAGTCGGGCGTGCCTTTGGCATTGTTGACACTGTTGTACGTACGATGCGGCGTCTCGGTGCATCGTTGGCCAGTAATACCCTTGTCTGAGAGTCTTGAAGGCCAAGGTTCGTCCTCTGATATGTTCCCCACAAATTCCCTCGTGGAGTTCGGCGAGGACAGTTTTGGCTTCAGGTGGTGCGAGGCAGCGTAGGAGGGGTTGAGAAAAACCTCTGCGGTATAGCTTCCCCCCGACCATGCAATACTAGGCCTGGGTTCACCTCAGTCGCCTTGCGGCCGTCGGGTTGCCGGGCTCCGTTCCGTCTTTCTTGAAGCGTAGTGTCTCCTCCATCCAGTCGGGCGAGGTTTGAGTTTCGATGGCGCCGCATGACGGTATGGTCGGTGCCGTTATGGGCTCGGTCGCCGGGATTTCTTTCGGACCTCGGGCGAAAGCTGCTTTTGCCAGGGCATCGGCTTGTGTGTTCTGGACCCAAGGTGTCTGAGTGATCGAAAACCGTTTGAAGAGGCGGGCGAGCCGCTGTACTTCTACCAGATATGACGCCATGGTTGCGTCTCGGGCCTCGTAGTTCCCGTTTACGTGTCCTGCCACCAGCTGGGAATCACTGAATACGTCAAGGTTGTCCACCTGCATCTCTAGGGCGAGGCGTAGGCCGTGTAGTAGTGCTTCGTACTCGGCTTCGTTGTTTGTGGCTCGGAATCGTAGCCGGATAGATCTCTCGTAGGTTTCTCCGGTTGGACTTTTGAGGACGAGTCCGATCCCGGCTGCCCCGGTGATGGCCGAGCCGTCCACGTGCAGGGTCCACAGGTGGTTGGTATCTTTTCGTTCATTTGTGCGATCTTCGGGTGTCAGTTCGGAGATGAAGTCGGCCAGTGCCTGGGCTTTGACGGCGCTCCTAGGAGAATATTGAATGTCGAATTTGCTTAGTTCGACCGACCACCGTAACATTCGGCCTGATACGTCGAACTTAGACAGGATCTGTTGCAGCAGCTGATCGGTGACGACTTTGATTGTGTGGGACTGGAAGTACGAACACAACTATCGCGCCGTATTTATCAATGCCAGGGTCAGCCTTTCAATCGGGGAGTACCGCACCTCGGCCCCGGTAAGGACATGGCTGACGTAGTAGATGGGCTGCTGCTTCGGTGGCGTTTCTCGAACCAGTACTGAGTTGACCGCCCGTGTTGACGCTGCTAGGTAAAGACCGAGGGTTTCTCCAGGCTTAGGGGAAGCGAGTCGAGGTAAGTGGGCAAGATATGCCTTTAGGTTTTCAAAAGCCTCTTCACACTCCGGGGTCCAGGCGAAGTTGTCGGCTCGTCGCAAGGCCCGGAAGAGGGGAAGACACCTATCACCTGACCTTGATATGAATCTATTGAGTGCCGCCAGCTTCCCAGTAAGGTACTGCATCTCCTTGATTGAGCGGGGCGGATGCATCTCGGTTATGGCCCGGACCTTCTCTAGGTTGGCGTCTATCCCCCTCTGGTGAATGACGAAGCCAAGGAATCTTCCCGAGCTAACCCCGAACACACACTTCGCGGGGTTTAGGCGCATGTTGAATCGCCTAAGGGTCTGAAAGGTTTCCGCCAAGTCAGCCAGATGCGCCTTTGCGGTTTTGCTCTTTACAATCATGTCGTCCACATACACCTCCATGTTCCTACAGATCTGGTGTTTGAACAGCTTGTCGACCATCCTCTAGTAAGTTGCTCCAGCGTTCTTTAGACCGAATGGCATTACCTTGTAGCAGTATATCCCTCTGTCGGTAATGAAGGCGGTGTTCTCTTGATCCTTTGATGCCATTCGGATTTGGTTGTAGCCTGAGTATGCGTCCATGAACGTAAGGAGTTCGTAACCCGTTGTGGCGTCAACTAACTGATCGATCCTTGGGAGCGGGTAGTAGTCTTTGGGGCACGCTCAATTGAGATTGGTGTAGTCAACGCACATTCGCCAGCTTCCATTTGGTTTTTTAACAAGGACTACATTTGACAACCACTGAGGATATCTTACTTCGGTAATGAACCCAGCCTCTTTTAGTCAGTCGAACTCTTCGCTGATCGCCTTCTGTCGGTCGGGAGCAAACCTCCGTGGTCTTTGCTTCACAGGTTTGGCCCCGGGACTGATGTTGAGCTGGTGTTCGGCCACCACCTGGTCGATCCCTAGCATTTCCTTGGGCGACCATGCGAAAACATCGGTGTTTTTCTTCAGAAAGTCGATGAGTTGGAGCTGATTTTCTTTGGGTTGGGCCGTACCGATTTTCACGGTTAGATTGGACTGGTTTCCTTTCAAGGGTACCTCGGTGAGCTGTTCTGGAGGCTCGAGGCGTGTGGGTGGTACAGCCTCTTCTCGGGGATCCTGATCTTGGGTGCGCGATTTCTTTGGGAGAGTAACCGCTGTGAGGTAGCATCTCCTCGACTCCCCCGGATCGCTTCGCGATTCCCCGGTCCTTGCCGAGGTGGGAAACTTGATGGCCCGATGGTAGGTCGAGACCACTGCTTTCAGTTTGTTGAGCGCCGGGCGACGTTGTAGGCTGAGGGTAAGTCGACCACCATAAAGGTAGTCATTATCGTCTTGGTCCTTGGTTCTTCCCCGATGGTGACGGGGAGTGTGGTGGTGCCGAGTGGGGAGATGGAGTCGCCGGTGAATCCCGTGAGCGCCGAGCTCATGGGAATGAGGTCCTCAGTGGACAAGCCGAGCTTCTTAAAGGCGTCGAGGTACAACACATCGGCGGAGCTCCCAGTGTCAACCATTACCCTTCTTACCCCAGCGTTGGCGATCTGGATGGTGATCACCAGAGTGTCGTCATGGTGGGAGCGCTCCTCCTCTTCGGCCCCGAAAGAGATCTCGGGTTCCAGCTTGGGTCGGAGGCATTTCTCGACCGTGCTTCGGGCATAGGACTTCCTTGCGGTTGAGCTGCTGCCACCCGCCGCTGGTCCTCCAGAGATGACATCGATCTGTCTTTCGACGGGCATCCTGGGTCATGGGGTTGCTTCTCGAGGTTCCTTGAGATAGTGGCCGAGATACCCCCTTCTAATCAGCTCCTTGATCTAGTTCTGCAGATCGCGGCAGTCCTCCGTGTCGTGGCCATAGTCTCGGTGGAACCTACAATATTTCGATCGATCTTTGTGGGTAGGTTTTACGGGGTTGGGTGGTCGCAAAAGATCCTTCTCTTTGATCTGGAGGAAGATTTCGGTACGGGGTGCATTCAGCGGGAGGGGCGGAGGCCTTGGGAGCCGCGGCTCAGGATGGTCGGGCCTCCGGCGGGGTTGTGTCGCGGCAGTCGAGGTAATAGCTCGGGGTTGCTCGATCCGCGGCTTCTTCCTGTCCGCGCGTCTTCCTTCCACTAGTGCTTCGTCGGCGACATACTGGCTGGCTCGCTGGAGCATCTCGGGGATGGTGGCCGGCGGCTTCTCAATTAGCGACCAGAAGAACCTCGAGGGCTTCAGCCCCATTAGGAATGTCTGCATGATCAAAGAAGGGTGAGCGTCCGGATACCCCCGGATTTCCATGGCGAAGCGTGTCACAAACTGGGAGAGCGTCTCCTCCTTGTGCTGCGATAGTGCGAGCAGGGTGGCCATAGAGGGCCGAGGTCGCGTGCTGGCAAGGAAATTTTGCTCGAACTCCCTGGCAAACTGGTCGAAGGAGGAAATTGAGGATTGGCGCAGCCGGCTAAACCACGCGCGCGCTGGACCCCTAAAGGTAGTTGGGAATGCACGACACATCAACGCGTCGGACGTTCCATAGAGGGCCATCTGGGCCCTAAACGCGGCAACATGCTCCGTCGGGTCGAAGCCGCCATCATATGTTTCCAAAGCAGGCACCCTAAAGTTGAGGGGAACGGGCTTTTCTTGTATTTCTTGAATAAAGGGGGATCCGCCCGAGCCGCCCTCGCTTGATTCGCCCCGCGATTTTTGAAGTTCGCGTCGGAACTCGTCTAGGCGACGGTTAACTCGGGAGAGTTGCACCTTAACAAAGCTATCCGCCAAGTCAAACGACACGGTGTCGGGCTCAGGGCGGGGTTATGCGGCTTGGAGGGGGGCGGGCGCATCGTGTGCGGGCGGACCCCTTTGGTCCGTAGCTCCGTCTCAAGTTTCACCTGTCGCGGCCTGTTCCGTGCTTGGCCCTTGTCGCGTCGGGTCAGTCGAGGCGGCAGTCAGTCGTATGATTTGGGGAATGAGTGGGGCAAAGGTCTGCATCATCTCCGCCATTGCCTGTACCTGTTTAGTGAGGCCGAGGAATGCCTCGGGAAGCACGGCCGGAGGGCCCGCGGCGGGTTCCGGGGGCAACAACCTCGGGTTGTTGAACAGGCGCCAATAGCGATCTGGCGTTGACGTCGGGATTTCTTGGTCTTCGTGGGCCGGGGGCTGATCTCCGCGCCTAGTAGAGGGGTGATTGATTAGCAGTTCCCCCTCAGGGGGGATTCCCGTGGGATGTCCTAGCGACACGATAGACCCTCCTTCTAGCTCCAATCTGTTATTGCGAACAGCTTTATGCCGTGGCCTCGGGGCCAACGCGGCCGGGTTCGTGATGCTGTCACTGCGGTGGGTCGTCGCTTCCTCCGGGAAAGGGGCTCCTCGCTTGAGCCTCGAGAGGAGGGTGCCTCGTCTTCGTACCTGCACACAGGTCGGGTCGGGATGTTTGACCCGACCCCTCCGATGATTAAGTTAGTAGATGATCCCCGGGGGGATTTTTTCCTCCCCTTCTCCCTCGGCTGGAAGGGTTTTTATAGTGAAGGGTTACCGCTATCCGGTATGACCGTTTGTAGAGAGTAGGGTCGTACTACTGGTAACGTCCGACAGTGGTGTTGGCTTGGCGTGTAGGGGCAAGCATGAGCGGGGCATTAATACGCCTCGGTTGGTGTTCCGGTCATTTGATCGAGTGCTGTCGGGTCGATCGAGGCGTAAGGCGTCATCTAGGGTAACTGGTGTTAATCAAGTCGTGTCTCCATTATTGCTCCTATTAGAGGATGTCCTTTCGATTGACTTGGATACTGCGTGATGGCGCGCGTCACCAACTATAATGCTGTTGAGTCTCCAGTGGTTCCCTCATCAAGTTCCACGCCCTTCTCTCCCCCCTTTCGGGAGCGGGAGCGTCGCTCGCAGATGCCTTGGTCGCCGCAAGCACATTTAAATCGAAGTAACACTAAACGTTGCACGGAAATGAGACACCAAATTGAACTGTCGACTTCTCCTTAATATGTTTTCAATCGAGGAACCACCTTATCCTTTTACTCTTATCTATCACATCTGAGAAACACCACAAGTTTTTGACTGCTAAGTCACTCAAAAAGAGACGTTTCCACATGAGTGGGCCACAGGAAGCTGCGAAAGCAATGACAAGCAGCAAACAGCATGAACAACTGCTTTGGCACGTACTACTGTTGCTACTGCGACAACAATGGGACTGATCCACCAGCAGCCAGAATCTGCGTCTCCATCTTGAACAGAGTTTCCAGCTTGCGCTTCACCAGGCGATACTCCGCCGTCAGTTGCTGCAGACATTTGAGGCAACCTTCTTTGCTCCCCTTCTTACAGCAGTCGTGAAAGGCCATGCACGCATCTTTGACTCTTTTAGCACCTATGCTGGCACTGCTGCCTGTCAACTTGCGGACAAAGGCATCCAATTTCTCGAAGTCCACGTCCTGCTGATCTAGGATAGAGCGTAGTTCATTGAGGAGCTTTTCAGAGTCTTCAAGGAAAAGAGTCCCAACCTGAAGAACAAACTTAGGTTCGCTCTCATCCTGCAGCTGCTGCAACTGTGTGTACTGATTGTCCAGAATCCCGTCATGGAAGACAAACGATGCGAACTCAATGTATACCCTTCGCAATTTATGCAACTCCATGTCTCCTCAGCTATGCAGCAGGGACCAGGCTTCTTCCAGGGAGGGGGAGCTTCTTCACCTTTACAAAATAAAGCAGCTGTTCGGCAATACGACTCCCAAATTCTCATTCAACGCATCCAATAAAAAGAACAGCAATGGGAGACAAATATTGTATGTCTGTGTGCTCATAGTGTATCAGCTATATATTGGATATACATGCTAAATTTAAATTTAGAGAAGTAAATTTGAGAAACATATATCTATGCAATTTTTCCATTAAAATGAAAGACAAGAAGCATAAAAATTGCAAAAAAAAAAGAAAACTTGCTAATTATGAACACAACACACACAACTTTTTATGTGATACCAAGGCAGCTGGAGATGATGAGCTGAGTTGAAAGCCAAGTAGTAAAATGACTCTCCAAATGCTGAATGATGAGCTTATTAACGTAGAAGCGTTCAAGTCAACTAATAAGGTTTTCCAAGACTGACCCACTCTCTCTGTAAAATGATTTCGGAACTGGTTGCTTAAACATCAAGAGCAGAGAAAACCTATAATCACAAATAGAACGCATGCAGCAAGAAAACGAACCAACATTTCACAAGCAAAAGCCTCGCAAAACCTTGAAACCATCATCAGATAACAGATTAAACGCCTCCTCTGATCCGAAAGCCGACCAAGAAACATACAAAGCCTAAAAGAAAGCAAGCCCACGTGAAATAATCAACGACGAGATGCGGTGGAACGTTCTTGTCGCGCTGATACCTTCGACGCGTGGTTCATTCGACAAGAGTGCGAACCGTCCCGCATCCAAGAAACGATTAATAAAGACGGAAACCTAATGCAGACCGTGTAAGAACAACAAGGTGCGGCAAATGGCATCAAGAAAGAAGGCTCCGGCTGGATCTGACTTTCTTGATGCTCCGCAACAATGCAAGGTTGCATAGCTGCAGAGAGCATCCGAAGATCGAGAGAGAATACCTCCTGCAGCGAGTCCGGCGACCGCGGGAACGAACTTTGGCCCCAAGAACGACGGTGGAGAACACGAGAATACCTCCGACCATGAAAGGGAGAGCGAGAGATGAGAGGAGTCGAAGCGCCGGAAACAGAGCGAGAAGTGGGAAATGGGGGAGAGAGTCCCGTTCGTTGGCGCTACAAAATGGCTTGCGTCTACGGTGTTAATACCGTGCAGTTTATGTCCATCCTGCGACACAAATTCCGTTACACTGCCTCGGTAATCATACCGCGAATGTGCGTATACCGTTCAGTTCGCGTTGCTCCTCAAGTACACTTTCAGTTAAGCTGACTCGTCAGGTCGTCCATCCACCTAACGACGCGTGGACAGAGACATGGCGGGAGTCACGTGGATCGCCATGTGTCATAAACGGGTCCGGATCCTTGTTTGGGCCCGAGTCCACTGAGTCGTCCAAACACGGCCCAACTTCCCACATTAGTGTTGTCCGGCCCGAACCAACCGAGAAGTCAAAAAGGGACGCAAAGCCTCGCTGCCCCTCGTTCCGATCGATCCCTTCGAGCTCGGGGGGCGACTTGCAGCGATGAATCGGCCCCGCGGCTTCACCCTCCTCGCGGTCGTCCCTCTTTTGTTGGTCGTCGCCGGTGCGATCGAGTCGCCCCAGTACACCGTCGTACACTCCGAGTCGGACTTCGAGGTGCGGTTGTACAGGGAGTCGGTGTGGATGTCCGCTCCCACCGACGAGATTTCGTTCGAGAAAGCCACCAAATTCGGTTTCCACCGGTAGGAGCAATCACAATCCCCTATAGTTATTGCTCATTTAATTGATCCTGAGATGATGTTTACGGTGTAGGTTTTGATATATTTGGGAGAATCATATCAAAATTAATTCTTTTCCACTCTTCAAATAGGCATTTCTGCTGGAAATTCGAGGTCAAGTTAATTCGACGATAAAATGAGCCATGCCTCGTCAAACAAGCGCAATATTGGACACCAAATAGAAAAATAAAATGTTTTTTTTTCTTTTTTCTGAAGAACACCCATGAATTGGACCCCTCTCCTGATGTTTCTTAATGATCATGAATGAGACTAGAAAATTCGATTTCAGAAGAGGAACAGAAATTCATGGAACAGCTTATATCTTATGATATGCGCTTATTCACTTCGATTTTCTTAGACATTCTGGACCTAACAATTCTTGTGCTCCATGTCCATGGGAATCGTTAAATCTTTTAATATGTATTTTTCATGCATCAACTTTACACCATGATAGCTAAGACATTATGGCTTATGTTGTTTGAGTCAACTTTGAAGCCATTAAGAGAAGATGGGAGTGCGAGATTTTTTGTTTTCCCTTTTTTTTCTTGGATTTGCTTTTTTGGTGTTCAGTAAATGGGGAAGAGCCGTAAAGGTTCGGAGATAGGTAATAGTCGACTATGATGATTTGGACTTAAATGTAGAGTTGACTCAAACAACATAAACCATAATGTCTTAGCTATCATGGTGTAAAGTTGATGCATCCAAACAGATCTCATTAAGAGAAAATGGGGGTGTGAGATGTTGTTTTCCCTTTTTTTTCTTGGATTAGCTTTTTTGGTGTACAGTAAATGGGGAAGAGCTGCAAAGGTTCGATGATAGGTAATAGTCGATTATGATGATTTGGACTTAAATGTAGTTTGCTGTTAGTGTCATATACCTTGCATATGTTTTTCGTTCCCTCTATGAGTTAAAAGCAGTAAAATTGAGCATATCCGTACTATGATTTTCCCTTTATATATACCTTGCATATGTTTTTCGTTCCCTCTACGAGTTAAAAGCAGTAAAGTCGAGCATATTCGTTCCCTCTACGAGTTAAAAGCCGCTCTCCTAAATCGATAACTTTTTATCTTTATCAAAAGTTGATTGTTTTGTATTATCTTTTGCCGCAACGTTATTCGAAGTCTTATCTGTTATAGCCGTGCAAGTAAATTTTATGTACACTCAATAGTCATTTTTTTTCTCCTACACTACCATTCAATGTTGATCACTACAATAAATACGATTTGATACTTTTCCTATTCAGAATTTCCAAGGATGCACTTCTGTTTATTGTTGTGTTGAGTTGTTTCCTTATTATGAGCATAATATTGAAAAATTCTGGTGAAAATTTCATTGATCTTACATCTTTGGAATCTCTATCATTTGTACTAATTTTGTCGATGTTGGTCGACATGCTAAATCAGGCTCTACTTATTTTGTCAGATTATTTCAGTACATCCAAGGAGCTAATCTAAATTCCTCGAGGATCAGAATGACTGCCCCAGTCTTAACAAGCATTGTTCCAGGCGCTGGCCCTCTTCACTCTTCAGCCTACTTTGTGCGGTTCTATGTACCAGTGAAGTTCCAGGCATCCCCTCCTGTTCCTCTCCCCGAGTTAAACCTGCATTCTGATAGATGGGGAAGTCACTGCATCGCAGTGAGACAGTTTTCTGGTTTTGCTCGAGATAGCAATGTTATAAAGGAGGCAGAGAAACTTGCTATCAGCTTGAGTCAATCTTCCTGGGCCAATCTGACTGAATTTTCCGACAAGAACGCATACTCTATCGCCCAATACAATTCCCCATTTCACTTCATCGGTCGGGTCAACGAAGTTTGGGTAGATGTTGGTGGATCTGAAGTACCAGGTTGTGAATCAAGTCATGCCTATACATACTAAGCCTGTTAATCCATCTTTCGACTGTGACATGGACATGTAATGCAGTATTGTACATGTATACTTGAAATGCTTTCTATAACTCTCGTATGTACACTGACTTGTTCTCGTTAAGAATGTAAATCAGACTTCTTTTGTCGGCCAAGAGCGACAGAAAAGAATTTCTATGATATCTGAGTTGTATCTGATGTGTTATTCCTGTTCTTGTCAAATATTTATGGCATGATATTATTTGAAACAGTTAACTGCAAATATCCTACTAGACCTTGTTCTATGTAATGATGGTGTTGAATCGAATAACATAGGAATGTTTGAAAAGAGAATTAACACCTAATCATTTGTTCTGATACCATTATATTGGCAAAATGAAAGAAATCAGCAGTTAAAAGTCAGCTGTTTCCTGACCAACAGTGATAACAAGAACTCACAAGCTTGAGCAAGAGAAAACAGACCTTCTCACATTTAAATCAAAAAGGAAATAAAGTACCACCAACAAATCAATAAAGAGAAGTACATCATCCTGCAATGTTTTGCTGTAATGTTTATGTATATCCGTATCTTTTGGCATGTTCATGCTTTACACAATATGTAGAGGAAAGATCGAAGGCTTAACAGTCTCATTTTAGTTGGGTTTGGTGGTCTTCTTCGGCTTGTAAATAAATGTCATGTCATGTAGACACTTGTGAGAGATATTCGATCTGTAGTGGATCATTTTGACCCTTTGTTGTGCAACTGTTCAGAGCTTGTAAAGTCTGTTTGTAATTTGCATTGTCTATGAAGTATTTCCTGGAATGTTTGCTTGTGAATCCCGAGTGAGGCGTTTTCTCTAACCCGTTTTTTCTTTTGTGGGTCCTAAGGGACCATGGGAGGCTTCGGGGAGGCTGACCTTTACGGACGGATACGTAAGGGTGCAGCACGACTTAGGCAAAACCAGCTAAGGTCATGACAGATGATATCAGAGCGGGACAAGCACTCATAGAAACACTTGACGTGCAAACGTAGAGGACCTAGCGGGGCTGCGTTGAGGGCAGTCAGCACACGCGCGACCGTTTGGGGGAAAACGGGCATGGATATGTAGGGAAAAGGAGTCATTCGGAGGAGCGGGCATCTGAAATTGGCATTCAGAGGAATGGCCAACTCTTCGCGCAAGAGGCACCACGAGGACAAGCAAGCTGGGAAGAATGCGGAGGACACAAAGGTTGGGATGGCTGAGTTCGAGCTACGGCTCGATGTTGATAACAATACTTGATGGTGCTCAAGGCAAACGAGGCGCTTGGTAAAGGATGAGACCATGCAAGGTGGAATTAGTTGCTCATCGACCGAAAGAGTTGTGCAAAGCTCACAGAGGTGAGGGGAATTGTTAACTCGAAGAATTCGGTACTTATGCATGGGCTTGTATGCGGACGATAGAATGTTCGTGGCCATCCCAAGGTGACCGAAACTCGACGCCATGGAGCATTGAAACTTTCTCTTCGGCATATGAAGGATACGTCCGTAGGAGGCTGAAGTGTGCAGCGTGTTTAGCATGTTGCTAGGCCTTGAGGAGTGCAGTGGGAGCTGTATTGACGTGGAGTCACAATCTAGCAAGTGTGTTTGCAGGAGGCAAAACAATGCGTAGTTTGTTCAGCAAATCGGAGTAGTCCAAGGGAATGGTGGTCTCCGAAACGAAGAGAGATGTTGCTCCAACGGGATAGATATCCAGAAGGGATAAGTCCCGATTCTCCAGAGGGAGAATCATGTGTAACAGACCGCACATGTTGAGGAGGAGTACCTCAACAAATAACAACTCCACGAAGCTCAATGGACTGAGCAATCGACGAGGAGTCGTCGCATGATCTCGTTTGAGAGAATGCATTGGTGGATGCATTGCGAGATCAAGTGGGGGAGCGACCTAAGACAACACAAATGAAGGCATACTTGGAGTCGATATGGAGATCGGACTCAAGGGAGGGTTGACCCATGGAATGGTGGGCGCAAGGGCCACCATCAACTCAATGCAAAACGAGGACCGGAGCAACTTGAGTGTGACTTAGCGAAGTACCCAAGCCGCATGTAGGGAGCCAACATAGAAGATAACACATGGAGCGGAGGCACATAGCTTTCCTTGGACAGAGGTCAACGACATGAACTCTAGCAGAGGCAAGAGCAGGACCATGGGTCCTTCATTCTGACGGAGCAGACTCATCTTGCATGGTGCCAAAGACGAAGGGAGCTTCTGGGCACATGCACCTTATCTCGGAGAAGCATTTGATGGAGGAACTAAGGCAACTCAACTTGCGGAGCCGAAGTTGGGTTCAGAAGGCCTTGGCACGGGGCAAGAGGACACGGAGGCGGGTACTCTTGAAGAATATGCCACAGTGTTGCCAGTCAAGTTGCCAGGTAGGAAGCGGTGCGCAGCGGAGATTGTGTTGGTAGGGGTAGAGGCCCAAGATCCAGACAATGGTGCACTAATTGCAACGAAGTTGGTAGACTTCAGGAGCTACTAGGCGACAGACTGTCCTAGAGCGGTGCTTCATCTAGGTGTGACCCAAGAGTGGGTGGATGAAGGTCGATTGCCAAAGGAGCGAACAAAATCGAAGGTGGAAGAGACCCTGCGTTGTATTAGCAGAGGCCACACATGGAGGGATCACAATCTAAGTTCATCCCACAAGGATCAGAATGCAATAGTGATGTCACCAAGAGGCGATATGGTGCAGCAGATCATGGTGGAACAGTTCGTGGCAATGCGATACACATGACATAGTCCTGTGAGAGACTAGATCATACAGAGGTATAATCGGGAGCTACTAGAAGCTCAACTTCAGTGAACAACACGATGACAAGAAGGGCTATGGATTCAATGAGTGAAGGCCATGGTACCACAGAGGCGGGTCTTCCATGCGTACATCAAATCTTGCATCACATGAAAGCCTTAGTCATCAGCATATGGGGGCTATGTTTCATCAAGGGAAAAGTTCAAATGCAGGTACTAGTGAGTCACATGGGAGGGACTTGATCATGCAGAGGTATGATCGAAGCAGCTGGAGAGTTGGACTGCTCTAGAGCCCATATTCGCTTAAGGGAGCCCGACAAGTCAGAGGACAAGGTCAAGTAAGCGAACGTTGCTACCAAGGAAGCTAAGGAGAACAGAATCGGTGCAAATCCTATAATATGATAGCAGAGGCCATGCATGAGAGTTGCAGTATGTCTTTCCATCGATCAAAGGGAGCTGCTTGGAAAACACAGAGGTGTTGAAGCAGGGGGTCAAAAGGGGCGAGGAAGCGATGACGAGTCCAGAGGGACTTAGCTACCCAAAATCAAGCATTAGTTAGAATGAAAGTGGACTCGGGGGAGTGCCATAGAGACATATCTATTGATCGTGAAGAAAAGGGATGCAGATGCGAGGCGACGGATAGTAGGGCCATGGGCATGGCAGCGCCATGGTACCGCAAAGGCGGGACTTCCGTGAAAGTCATTAATCCCTTGCTCTCATGGAGGGAGAGCGCTTGGTCGTGAAAGGGACCGAGGAGGCAGAGCATGTAGAGGCAAACTCCAAGTACCGAGACAAGGCTGAAGGGCAGAGGCCAAGGAACTTCGTAAGACCGGTGTCAACGAGCTTCTCATCAAGATAGCCGAAAGTGAAGGACTTTGGGTCATGCAAGAGTGCACAAACAAGGAACGAAGCAAGCAGTACGCGGTGTTGTACCTTTGCTACTCAGTGGAGTAGGCAGCCGAGTTGATGGAGAAGACGGTACAATCCCAGAGGCGACCAAAACTACTAGAGACTTACTCCAAGTTGGGGTGAAAACTTCCTGCATTCCAGAAGTTCGATGACATTGAGAAAGTGAATCACAACTAACTCACTCAACGCAAGGATTGCAAACACTTCAAGTGCTTCATAAGTGTGAGCAAAGAGCAGGCGAAGGCCAGTAACCAGCTCGATGCATGGAGTACAACCTCGAGGAGGCGGGTAGAACTGTGAGCAAAGAGTAGGCGAAGGCCAGTAACCAGCTCAATGCATGAAGTACAACCTTGAGGAGGCGGGCGAAGTCAAGTAACCTTTGCCTTCTCAACTCTTAAGAGAATGAGCGAAACCGAGTACCCCAATTGTCTTATCTATCCAGCAGAGGAGCTCTGCACAGGTTCAAAGACCCTTCGAAGATAATAAAAGACAATAGTTGTCAAATCCTCACCAACGGTGATCAGTGCTATTGAGAGTAGATTGTTCGCTTCATTTCCCAACGAAATGCCAATCGAAAACGGAAGTGATGCGAACCTACTTGGAAGTAACAACTAAGTGTAAGAAAAGTCAATGAGCAAATTTTGTGGAGGAAGGACCCAAAACTTCAGAAGTTTGCGAGGCGATGCTCGTTAAAGCTCCAACAAGCATCCACCCAATTCAAGCAGCATAAGGCATTTGAGAGACTAGCGCATGGTAAGGATGGTTTTTTCCTTCATCTGGAGGATCCGCAAGAACCAACAGGGATCAACACAACTCAACCAACCCCACACTAGAGTCAGAGTCATCGGCGAGTTGAAACAGCATGACGGATCAAATGTTCAACTACTCAAAAATAATAGCGAAGAGCAGTTGGGAGCCAAGAGGCGCATTGCAGTTGGAGCAGAAGATTAAAGACTCAGCAAAGGCGAGCAGTTATAGTGTCGGCAAAGGCTTCGACGAGGACGTCGAAGGAATAAGTAGGGGAGAATGTCACGGACAAACTTCTAAACATGATGTTTGATGTAATACTTATTTATGTCCATGTCTTTTGGTATGTTCATGCTTTGCACAGCATGTAGAGGAAAGATCGAAGGCTTAACAGCCCTAATTTAGTTGGGTTTGGTAGCCTTCTTCGGCTTGTAAATAAATATCATGTCATGTAGACACTTGTGAGAGATATTCGATCTGTAGTGGATTATTTTGACCCTTTATTGTGCAACTGTTCAGAGCTTGCAAAGTATGTTTGTAATTTGCATTGTCTATGAAGTGTTTCCTTATAATATTTGCTTGTGGATCCCGAGTGAGGCGTTTTCTCTAACTCGTTTTCTCTTTTGTAGGTCATAAGGGACCATGGGAGACTTCGGGGAGGCTGACCTTTACGGACGGACACACAAGGGTGCCGCACGACTTAGGCAAAATCAACTAAGACCGTGACAATACGGAGCAATAATATGAACAAGTCAATTTCCAACTAATTACATGGATGCACATTCAGCATTATTCACCATCAAACACAATGACCAAAGAAAAAAACTGTAATCATTTCAGTAACAATATTTTTTTTCTTTTAGAATGAGGATAAAATATCAATAAGAAAAAAATTGTCACCGCAAGAAAATACATAATTCCTGACAGTACATATTTATACACAGTGCAATACAAAAATGTTCACCTTACAAATTTGCATTATTTGATAGTGCATGATTTCACCAAAAATTAGTATAGTTCTACAGCACATAGGCATGCCATGTTGAATTGTCATGCTTTCCTGTGTTAGAGAAGAAAAATATTAATGTACAAGGGCCTGTTTATAGATAGTTCAGAAATTTGTGACAGTCCAGTAAAATATGTTCCTTTCCGATGCTACTTTGTTCATCATGCATCTTTCCTAAACTAGGGAGTTCCATCTTTGCTTCCATCTACACAACCAACATGCATAGAAACTGAAAAATACAAACATCTAGCATTTCCAAGTTCATTTTGGACATAGATCCCGAATAAACCTGATTATATTCATAACACACAAAAAAGGAAAATTTTAGATAGATTTACAAGTTGCCTCAAACATTACAATCATAAAGTTTCTAAACAACAGAAGAATTTCCAACATGCTATCCACATTTGTCATATATTAAGATATCTACTTTCAATCAAAGTTTTGAATAATGTGTGCCATAATCTAACCGGCCATCAGACAACCAGTATGGTACACCAGTATAGACACCAAGTAAAAAAAGAAGGGATTAATAAAATTATCGAGTTTTAAGCATCATGTAACACTGAGTGTACCTCCTAATTCATACTGGTTTTATCAAGAATCAAGAAGGTAAAAAAGGAATCAGTAATTTCAAGTAAAAGGTCATGAGATGACACTTCAGCGTTAGAAGCAAAATTAAAACGCTACTAAGCAATTTAAACTCAATGTTTCAGTTGTTCACCCAGTTTTCTGCTCCTCAGATTTGCATGTAAAACTATTCAAATTTGATACTAGCTCATCATTAGGATTGTAAATACCAGGAGCCCTGAACTCAATTTGGTCACAGAAACAATCAAGGATATACTTGTTCATCCACCCAGCAAGAAAAATCAAGAGGCACATTGCCAAGAAAGGACTCATCATGCTTGTAGTAGCAGCCAATGAAAATATGCATAAAGCTTAGCTTCATACTGAGGCCGTAAAAATATATAACTATGTACTAGCTAGAAAATGTAGTATTTGAATGGATCGACTTTTGAAACTAAACACTTTTATCAGATTAAAAACCTAGCTAGAATGTTGGTAACAAGAACTAAATTGGATCACTTTTGGCTCATTTTTTTGAGAATTTTAATGGATCATGCCAATCCCCCAGCTTCACATAAAGACAGGACAATCTAAAATTTTGTACTAGCTAGCAAAATAAGTATGTGCAAATTCATGACTTAGGATCTAAATAATGTCATCAGATACAAAGTTCATATGGTAATTGGTGAAAACAAGAGAGAGTGGATATGACTTAGTTCCTTTGTGAAGTGAATAACAACTTTGAGTTAACCTATAACAGGAATCCAATTATGCGTAGCTAGCTCAAGACCATACTACTAGAACGGAAGGAATTAAACACTTGAATTATCACAATGAGACCTAAAGTGCAGCACAAGTTACGGTCAATATACTGAAAATTCGACCCATTAATTCAGATTCAATAACAACAAACAGCAGGCAGAATGTCCCGACTATATGAAGTCGGCCACAGATCTTTTCCCACTGTTTAGCTCTGTGTACCTAAATTCCATAGTTAAAATAAGAGAAATCAAATCTCTTACTACAACAAGATATTTTGAAATCTTCCTGTACTCATACCACTAATGCTAATCAACTCACCTCTACAATCTCAAACAAAATTTTCTCATTCTATCCTCTATCCGGGTCACATCTGAATATTCATAAATAAAAACATGTCTTATTATATCCTTTTAATAACACTACACTTTTACCTCAAGATCATCATCTTAGCTGCATTAACTTTTCTGGACATGTAATCAACAGAACTAGAAAAAACCACCACTAGAACACCAACATAATTATAGGTTCTTAACAAGAAATCTGCACCATTTTATGGACATTCTTAAAGAATCCATGGGGAGAGACATTCAACATTTACATGCAACAACCATGGATTTTGACATATGAGGAACTTACCCAGATTATTAAACATACCATTATTAAAAAAAATGTATAACATGCGAGAGACATTCAATGCTTATATCGAAAGCACCACTTAAAAATAGATTTTTTAGGTGTATGATTATAGCATTGATAATTATTGAACACCAAAGCTCTGCTCCTTTATTGGGTACAGATTTGCACTATATGTATTATAATAAGTGAACATATAGCACTTGGAGGATAAGTGTATATTACAAACAATCAAACATCACCAAACATAGTTCAAGGGATTCTTACCAGCACAAATAACAATAGAGTTATTGGTGAACTATCAGGTTAGTCAAAAACTAATTAGAGTCGGATCTTCACTTCTGGTGAAAATAAATAACCATGAGAAGCATGTCACTATTTGAAGCAAACTCCCAAGTCATCAGATAACATGATCCTTCACACCTCCATGGCTTCTTCATCTGGACCACTGTTATCACAACATCAGATAATTTGTTATGTCGAGTTTGTTTCAGAAGATAATGCAGCAACTATCTTATCCTTGGTTTGCTGTTCAGAGCCTGGTGATTTGATGATGAAAGTATGCTGAATAGTATCTTCGCCACCTGAGACCTTTGATTCAGCCACATCAATCTCTGCCTCCTTTAAAGCTTGAAAAACTTTAGAAACAGGATGGGTATTCAAAGGAGAGCTAACTTGCACAATCACCTCATCCTGCTGTGCTTGAACATCAAACTCAGGACAACACACTCGAGTACTAGGATCCACCATACCGGACTCCAAGAACATCTCCCTCTCAGATTCCATCTCCTTCAACCTCTTTTGGAGATCTGTGATATACGCAATGGCATCTCCCAGCAAGGATGCCTTGTCCATCTTTGAAATGTTAGGTACCACCGCACGCAAAGCATAGAACCTACGGTTGAGCTTTTCCCTTCTCTGGCGTTCTGCTTCAACATGATTGAGAGGTTCCTCTCTTCCATTTGCAGGCTTTCTTCCCCTCTTTCTAGGCCGCCGCTCATCTAGTGGGCTGGCCTTTTTGTCTTTGCTTGAAGCATCTACATCTGCATGGTCACCTTCCAATGCTCCGATATGGGCAATCAAAGCCCCGGCTCTTGAAGTCCCGCCTACACTAAAATCAATCTGTCTCGGTGGTGGCTGTATTGACTGTTGGGGCTTGTGCTGATTCGTCTGGATCTGGAATTGGCCAAGCGAAGGATCTCCCCTCACTCCATTGCTATGATTAACGGCTTCACTGGCAGCCACTATGAGACCATTACCAAACTGTTGCTGATGAGAATTCAGACCACGGACATGGTTCCAGCTGAAACTCTGCATTCCCTTTCGAACATTTGGAAACAGCATCCAACTTCTGCTGCCACTCTTCAGCTGTGTGTCCCAAGAATTATCCTCTACCTTTGTAACCAAGATCTTGTCATCGACATTAGGAGTCCCAAGATTGAGGTCCTTTCCAAAGATCTTTGTGCATGCCTCGGGCCCATTTCTGTCGTTCTTCTCGCTAGATCGAGGCAACTGTGTGTGAATTGTACCCAAAAACACCGACTTTATCGTCTGCAAGGCATCAGGGCTTTCCGTTAGCGACCTGACAGATCCCAATTCGAGGACTCCCGTCTCGAATGGCACAACAACAATCGTCCGGAACCCGGCAGAAGCTGCCAAGAATCCCCTGTAGCAGTAATCGGAGGGCGAGAGGATCCAGAGGTGCTTCCCGGCCGCCAAAGCCCGACCGGGAGCGCCCTTTCCCCGAGGAAAGGAGAAATACATCGACACGAGGAAGAACATCTCGGCGTCGGTGACCTGATCGAGGCGGAGGGCGTAGTTGTCCTCATCCGACCCGCCGAAGAACACGTGGAGCTTCTGGAGCACGGCCATCCTCATCTTCTGCCGGGGCTCGTCGTCGCCGCCCGACCTCACGGCCGCCGCCGCCGCCGCTGCGGCGGCCTCTGCGCCGTCGCGGGGGTCGCGGCAGGACCCGTCGCCCCAGCCAAGGACGAGGTCGCCGGACTTGGCGCGGGAGATCTGCCAGAAGATGGCGTAGTTCCAGCCGAGGCCGGGGCGGTCGCGAGGGCCCTCGACTAGGTCGAGGAGGCGCCTCTGCAGGTCGGCCTCAGCGGAGGAGGAGAAGGCAGCGGCAGTGAGGCCGTCGGAGGAGGCGCGGCTGGCGGCGAGGTAACCGAAGGCCTCAGGGCCAAGAACGGCGGCTGCCATGCGCCGCTCCTCCTCGCTCCAGGAGAATTCCGACATCGGAGCTTCCAAATCTGGAAAGCCGAGGGACTGGATCGAGTCCTTAGATCTATCGACGAGGAAATTGCGGAGTTAGGGAGGGGGTTGGGAAGTGAAAGAGTGGTGAAGTGGGGGTATTTGGGGATCCATGTTTGTAAATCGCGGATCCTCTCCAACAATTGCAACGATGTATTGTGATCCAACCATCAGTGATTTAAGAAAGTAACGTCGTCCTCACGACGTGGACGTTCTAGATTTTAGAACCGAAAGCCCCAGTAGAAGTAGCGTTGGATAGGATCTTCGCCTGTCTTGAGGGGGTTGAGTTGTCGTGATCCGAACTTATCATGATGACGATGAGCATTCGTTGGTGGTACGATGATTCGTCTTGTTTCGAGGTGCCGAGCCGAGCTTAACGTTGAGATCTGGTCACAGAATACGGCTCGGGTGTATTGGCTTGCAGAAGTATCCGTACGTCGAGCTTAACGATGACATCGGCTCGCGCCGCCTCCCGTGTCGACAGCCACCGCAACCTGCTATTCGTCCCATCCCCTACCACCACCACCACGACCCACCATGATCAGTGCCACGGAGAAGAGCCGTGCCAGGAGAACACCTTTAAGCTTTTTAGCTCATGGAAGAAGAAGAAGAAGAAGAAGAAGAAGAAGAAGAAGACAACGATGAGGAAGCAAACGGAGGAGGAAATGAGCCCCAACTCCAAGAGCTCGGGACTAAGGGACTGCTGTAAACTGTTTGAGGTCTCTCTTCTGTTTCACATTCATTCTGCTCCCTATTACTGGTTTGTGCTTAATTAGTGGCTTGTGTTTGATCCTATTTGAGAGAGTTTTTATCTTCTTTTTCTTTGCAGTTGATATCTTTATTCTTGATAACTCATAGTGTTTTCAAAAGAAGTTTATTAGATATGCATCCTTCCCTCATGATAACTGTTTAACCACATACTAATCCAAGCATCAACCAGACAAAAGCAAACAACACTCCCTACTCATATTCTTAATCAATTGTCTGACAATGCAATAGCAGGCATTGCAATCATGAATCCCAATAATGTGCTGAAGTCAGTATCCTCTCCTACCATTAGGACATGGCTCCCAACAGAGTCAGATCAGCTAATATTCTCCTGATAGCTTGTCTATATGTTTAGTTCACAGTGGTAACAACTCCTTTAAAAACTTGGATTAGTTTCCTGGAGCAGATGGCTCAAATGGTTATTGTTGATGTCATGCCAACTGGATTCAATAATATTAACATTTTATTGGTTGCTTATAGGGATTAGAATATGTTTATCCCTCTTTTTAAGATTCCTGTATTGGCAGGAGTCTGTCTACTAAATTGCTATGGTTTTTTCTTTAACATGAAGATTACAAGAAAATTGATTGCCACTAGTTTGAAGGATAAAAGATGTGTTGAGACTATGTATGCTCAATCCAAAATTTTATGGAATATCATCATGGGATGGCTCAGTGGCATGATAACCTTTTTCCCCCTAGTGGATGAGTAATTTCTGAACCAAAAAAGTTTGGCTAAAAATAATCCAAGTTCTCTAATCTCAAATGGGCAATCAAAAGCAATTTAAGGATTCAAACTACAAAAAAGAAAGAAAAAAATAAAATTTGTTTGTGACATCAAAAATGATTAGGAAGTCATGTTAATTCAAGCCACGTACTCCAACCAAAGCTCAGCTATGTTTAAGATAAGGAGGATCAAAGTGACCTCAACTGCTGTCCCTTTTTTAAAATGAAAGATGATGATGATGATATGTCTCCCTTCTTACTTTGATGGTGACAGAATCTAATAAAACTCTCCTTTCCTTTTTCTTTTCCCCTTTTCCTCTGGAGTCATTGTCCTTGCAGCAGCTCAAAAGAACCAAACTGAGCTCATGATGGGGTCTCATTCTCTTCTTGTCACTAGCGTAGTGTGGCAGGGAAAAGGATTAGCCACTGTGTCATGATTCTTTGATCATATCCTAGCACAGCAAGGTATGCATCCCCATATCTTTGTCTCTTGCCTTTAGCTTTCCTCTTGGGTTTGCTTATAAAGAGTGGGAAACCAAATGGAATTGGAACTGTGTAACAATGAAAGGGATAGGTAGTGGAAGGAAGAGGGTGATTCAAGGTCTTCAGCCTCTCAGAGTTTGCAGATGGAGGCCACATCTCCATCTTCCTCTTCTCTGTCTGCCAACCAGCAGGGGGTATCAAGCTCGGATGACCTTCCCATTCAACAGAGCCTGCTCTTATCAGACAGTATCAATGTCCTAATTTCCTCCATGCCTTTTTCTTTCTTCACTTCATATTTTTGTTTAGTGCTGCTACTCTATACTGTATGGTTCTTAAGAGAGAACAGCATAATGCCTCACTTCTTAAGCTTGCTGGAAATTGTGTACTCGATTCTAGATTTGGGTTTAGACTAGAGATTATGGGGTTGATTATTGGAACATATATTATTGTGGACGAGTATTAGCTAAGTATTCAATTCAATTAAGTAGCTGATTTTGGTGCTGCAAAGTTCGGTAATATTATTTCTCAATTCAACAACCTAGCTACATATCTGAGTGCCATAAATATGCCATTTTGAGGAAAAAACTATGCATTTTCATTCTCTCAACTACATGTTCATAATTAATATGCAGAAACTATGCTGCTTACCAAGGAAATCTTGGGGGATTGTTTTACCCTACTAGAGTTGTTCAGTTAAAATTATGTATTGAAAAAGTTAAAGAGGTTAATCATATTTCATGGTCCTGAGTCATCTTAGTTTGCACCATGTTTGGTTACCTCAGATAAATTGAATAAGCATTTCGAGATCATCATGAACTGACTAATTGGAATTCTTAATATCCTTAACTACCATCTTTTTTCTTGGTTTTAGGGTTTGAGGAATATGCGGTCACGGTTATATTCAGCAGCAGAATATTTTGAACTGTCTTACATGAATGATGATGGAAAAGAAATGTATGTTTGGATCTACCTCATGCCCTATTCTCATTCAAGGGATGAGATTATGGATGATAGAACTCTTCTTAATTTGCAGGGTGATGAGGAGTTTGAAAGATTATGCTGTTAAGGCCATAGCTAATGCCGTGGATCATTTAGGTTCAGTGTCATATAAGGTAGACAACCTTCTCAATTACGAGGTTGATGAGGTCTCTGCAGCAACTTTTGAAGTATCATGCATGAAGCAGGTATCATTCAGTAAATTGTCTTCTCGTATACTGATGTATGAGCTTATAACCTGATCATCATTGTTTCCGACTTCAGAGACTTCGAACGTGCCAGACACGTATCGATCATGAATGTCTTTCTCAACAGTCTCTTTTGATCAAACCTCCAAAGTATCACAAGCACTACATTCTACAAGGCAAAATACCATTCCTAATTCATCAAATTCAATTGCAATGCATTCATCACCACCAGTTTTCTGGATATAGCTTCAGTAGATAACTAATAACGATGCAGTTTCTTCTCTCTTGTCATCAGGTCAATCCACAGCTGATTCTGGTATATCGATGCTAAAGTGCCAAGGATTCTATCCACCTAAGGAGAACAGCAAACTGAATCATCATCAGACTGGTAACATTGTCTTCATTCTCTGATACCATATGAAAATATGTAGCCGAGAAAATGTAATAATATGTGTATTTTTCCTCCAGCTTCTTCGGCAGCTAGGCATTGGCAATCTCCAATCAAGTATGCTGTTCTCCGTTTTAAGTATGCTGACGAAGTCTGGAACCTGAATCCAAATTGGTTTAGATTGAGAATGATTCTTGAGTGCTACATGCAGGAACGTTCATTCACGGTCTCCTTCACCCTGTCCTTCAAAAAGTGAACAGTATTTATCACCTTCTTGGACGATGCATTCAATTGAGAAGATCTCTTACAATGGTAATTATCTTATTGGAATTGGCTTCAATTAAGATATACATATGATTCATGTTTTGTTGTTTGTAATACTTCACCACTTGAAGCTTATAATCCACTTACAGGTGCAAGATCAGCAGCAAGCAGACCAAACATTCCCAACTCATCGAAGAAGGTAGACCCATCCAACTTCATTTTGCTGTGTTATATTCTGTAGATGATTTAATGTGATCATTAGTTCTATAACTTGCAAAATTTTGAATATGCTCGACATATGTTTGGTGAAATGAAAAACCATTTAATGTTCTCTTCTTTTTTTCTTTGAACTTTCATTGCAGTGTATCATGGAGACACAGAATTCACTTCCAATATGTTTGCATGCTGAAAGGAACAATCACAGTGAGACAGAGAGGAATCCAACCAGAAAAAGAAGGTTCCTCAATGCCCTGATCATGAGGAACAGGTCATGGACTGATGAGTCTCTCTACAGCTTCTTCAATGAATATTAAGGATTTCTACAGAAATCTAAAATAGATGATAATAATAAACCATGCGAAAGCATTTCCTTCATTTTTGTTCATTCAAAAGCATTGGCTTTCATGCCTCTTCTGCTGTAAACAGATGTGTGTCTTCTTGCAAGGCAATATATATGGTACCAAAATCTGAATCAAATAGTATTCCAATGTTCCCTGTTCATTTTGTTCCCCAGCTGAATTCTTGAAGTGCCACTCTGCTTATTCCTAAGTATTTTATATGTAAAAGCTTTGTGACAAGTGCATGGTTTAGATTAAATTTGGGCATATTCCCTTAAAAATCCATCCATTTTAGATTATTTTATTTTTTCTAAGTACCCTCAAATTTTTGCGAGTATTTTTGTTCTTCTAATGAAAAAAAAGAAGATTGCAGTAATAAAATAGAGGGAAAAAACCAAAATGAAGGGTTTTTTTAGGGAATTCATCTATTAAAATTTATTTGATAATATTGTTCATGCTTCTAAGAAAATTATAATTAGAGCAGGTGATATGTCTTCAATTTGCAAACTTGTACCGTCTCATTGTTTAGAGGTTTTAAATTGAGAGAATTAAAAAATGAAAAAGAATTGAGAGATCAGAAGGATTCTTAACTATATATTGTTTAAAGTATTTATCAAGAAAAAATATATTATATTTTCTAAAAAAAACTCTTATCTTTAGGAAATTCTTATTATAAAGCATCTCAACTTTGAAAAATTTTCACAAATAAATTTAAAATATTTATTAAGAAAAAAATATCTAAAATTAATGAATTTAAAAAAATTATATCTTTGAAAAATTCCTGTAGAGCGTCCTAACTTTTAAAAAAATTATACAGCATTATTTTTTTTGCCCTACTGTAGGGCTCCTATTGGACCCGCCTCTGTCACTACCTCTATCACCTTCTCTCATCCTTTTTGTCTTATCGAACCTTTTGCATATAAGCAACGAGAGTTATTTATGTCTTAACTTATGCGAGGATAATGAGAGCTATCGTTGCCATGACCCCTTCTTTCTTGCATGAGAGTGAGACAACAACACAAGGGTAAAATTATTTTTTCATTCGATCAATGATGCTCTATATAAATTTTTTGAAGTTGAGATGTCTTATGAGAATTTCTCAAAGATAAATTTTTTTTCAAAATATATTTATTTAAAATTATATATATTTTTATAAAAGATAAATGATGAAGATAAAATTTGATACAAAGAAATTTGGATAAAATATCAAAATTTTTACCAACTAAATTAGTTGATACCTTCTCTAAGTGATAATAAATTACGTATCATTTTCATTCCATTCTCCAAGCTGATCAAACCCGACTCGATCGGACGGTCCAATGTGATCTCGGTTGAATCAACATTCCATTATTTATGACGTATTATGTTCACTTAAATAATAAAAATAATAGGACTTAATGCGAAAACGCAAAACGTTGAGGGACTAATATGAAAAAAGTACTTCGATTTATTTCTCCGATTCGATTTATTTCTCCGAAGCATCCCCAACAGAGGACACAAAAGCGCGTCGTCTCCGCCCTCGCCCTATTCCAGACTCTACTGTTGCGCTTCAGATCGAGGCCTTCGATTAAGCTGCTGAATCGCCTTCCATGGTAACGAACGACATCCTTCTCCTCTTTTCGTGTTCAAATTTGTTTGATTTGGGAGTTCTTGAGGGGATTTTTGATGCCGATGTTGTGCCTAACGTCTCCCGCAGTCGGCGCTGTTCAATTTCCACTCCTTCTTGACGGTGGTGCTTTTGGTTATCTGCACCTGCACCTACATCAAGATGCAGTTCCCTGCCATCCTCCAGAAGAGGACCGGGTATGATTCTTGGCCTATTTCCCCTTCTTGGTTATTTACTTTTTCTTCATCGTCGATCGTAGGGTTGCATTTTTGAGATCCTGTTTGCTTTGCTGATACTAGGAGGTAGGGCGTAGAGTTTATATTTTAATGATTTGTGGGTTAAGAGAGGTTGGAAGCATGATAATAGATTTCTTTAACATCATTCGATGGAATTTAGCATATCTACCGAGCAATCAAGTTGAATGGTAAAGACGTGATGGAATTTGAAGGATTTAAGCATATGGAGAGAAGCAGAAAAAATCCTCGAATTTGAAGAGCAGTCTTTAACTGCCGAATAATATTATTGTTACAGATTGGAAATTTCCATTGTTGAAAAAAGGTGTTGAAAAGGATTAATGGTTAAAACAAATATAGAGAATTGACAATCGACTATCTTTTTTTTATTTTGTGGAATATTGTCAAAATAAACACTGCGAATGCCAGTCCCAAGCCCAAATGAAAAATATGGAGTGTTGCGTTAGGTCACTGACAACCAGCGTAAAACAATGTCAAATCGCATGGGCATGGGTCTTAACCGATTTTAGAATCAAATTAGGTCACGCGAGTCACCTTCACTACCACCTTGGTATCCCGAATTGCAAATGGTGGGCTAGGAGGTCATCCAAAAGTGGCTTATCACATCGGCTTATGGCTTTGTTGTTGTTGTTATTGTTGGAATATTGTCAAAATACAAGGTAGTTTAGTCTAAAAAATGATAGAAGGTTCAAGCGAATTGATAAAAGTCAAGTAGGAAGCATTTAGCAGGTTGCTTTACTGATATTTTTGCAAAGATTGTCAACAAGGATTTGAATACCAGTCCAGTACTGGTTTTGAGATGCTATTGGCCCAATATACTGAATTACTGATTTTTTGGGCAGTGTATATAATTGTATTTCAGTATCATTAAAAAAGTTATCAGGCATATCATTATCAGTTCCTGATCGGACCCACAAATTCTGGATTTTACATACCAGTTCAACTGGTATTCTAACCCTTGATTGTTAGAATACCAGGTAATTCTTGGTTGCTTGAAAAAGCATCTTTGAACTTCTCAAACAGCAATGCTTGGTGTGTCACAGGATTACAGATCACTTATCAGTTTATGCAATGTTTAGACACATTTTTTCTTGAAATATGCTACAAAACATCTTCAAAGTATGCAGCAGAATCTATTACATTCATTTCAGTAGTTATTGTCTTCCAAGTTTACTCATGTATGATTTTAATTGAAGGGTTTAAAATTTGCCCAATTAAATGTTCACGATCTCAATTTCTAACTCCTAAGTTATTACACTGTAGCATGGAAAATATCTATCTTGCAGTCAAGTGTTTGATAAATTTATTTTTTGGCAGGTTTCGTGGCTTCTTTTGGAAGGCAGCCAGAATAGGTATGTTGTTCAATGTTCAACCTTATGATGTATTGCAAACAGAAACCTGCATGTGTTCTATTTTATAAGAAGGTTTTAGAGCACAAACTTTTGCAGAAATAATGTAGAAAGCACTTTATATTTGAAGGCCTGAATATTGTTTGGCTCAGTTTGATCAGGAAACAGAGTGTTCTGGATGCAAACTGTAAATTTTGATGTTGAACATGATTGTTTCTTACAGCATGTTTGATTATCATAATGCTGCATATGTTATATGTATATTCCACATGCTGGTTACCAATTATGAATCTTGAATTCTTTGGTTTCTTGATTTGGAAAGAGCCTTTAGAGGTGGTTAAACTAATTCATAATGCCTCACAAGAGTATTTATTCCAAGCAGAAATTTTAGATCTAAGCATCCAGCATCTTGATGACAGTACTACTACTATATGTTCTGACAACTTAGTCGTGGAGCATAAACAAGGTCAAAAGTTGATGCAGCCTTAGATCATGACTACAAGGTGTCAACCAAGAACTGACAAATAGGTGATAGAAGTGAAAATGATGAAACTTAACAATGTTCTGAAAGCAGCCATAGCTTGCAGGCGTTCAAGTTTTTGCATAGTGCATATGCAGTCCAGATTATATCCAAAATAATATATAGTTGAGCACAAACAAAGAAATGTACAGTAAAGGTTTAATAATAAGGACATATATGACAAATAATTTGGAATGCTGAAAAGTATTGCTAAGTTTTATCACCATAGTGGCAATCATGCCTGGTACTAGCAAGCCTGAAGCTTGTCGATAGAGTTACACCACTTGAAAGAGATAAAATTGGAGGTTTTCAGTCAGTAATTGATCCTTAAATTTACATTCTTCTCGATTTTATGGTCACTCCAAGATACATATTGAAAAGGAATAAAAATAAAAGAAATTAAATTAGCAAATACATGAGGAATGTAGAATCTCAAGTCACCCTTTTTCTATTAAATGCTTGAACAACATTAGTCACATCTTTCTTTTAACTTTAGTAAAACTTCTTTCATTCTGGTCAGCCGTTTGGTTAGAAGATAAATCTCATATATTCTTTAAGGTCCATGCTTGCAAATTGATTATTGCACTTGCAATTGTCTTCATGCAAATGCATTGATTTTGGCGAGAGTTTTTTTTTTTTAACAAACTTTTCCTTCTCTTTGTGACTGTAAACATCAATAGAGATATTGATACGACTAATAGTTTTTTCTTTTGCAAAGTCTGTTCTCTAGAACTAACTTGTTTATGTAGTTTTAAATGATGAAATACTATATGCTGATACTGAAAGGATACTTATTATATAACTTTAGGATATAAATATGTTACTTTACGTAAAATTAATATACGTAATTAGCCACATCACATTATAGAGAGAATAGCCAAATTTCTTTGATGTACACAACACATTTTTTGTAACTATGATGAGAACACAGTTGACAGTACCAAAATTACACAGCTCTTGAAAGAGGGTGAAGGTTAACAAACTGAATCGTGGATGACTTAGACTCAAGAATCAGTTTTTGTTGTGTTTGTGACCGTATAAATAGACTCTCTCAAATTTTGGCTTATTGTTAAGCTGATGAAAATTTAGTCAAACTGGCTTCCCATCAATGGTACAAATTTCCATCTCCATTTCACCACTTTTTCTATGATCTATCGATCAATAACAATCTCTGTTGATATTTTGCTATTTCGTGGTAAGAAAATTTTGATACTTATTGAAGCCTAGGGCATATTTTTTGGTGACTCAATCTTAGTGAACACATTGATTATAACCATTGGCACTTGAATAATTTTAAGTTGCTTTGGAGTCTAAATCTATTGAATAATTGCAGAAAATAGTGCCGTAGTGCACCTACACTTGGTCACCCAGACATGCTATGATTAAGTCATTAAGGTGCTAGATTTTCCTTTTATTTCTTTTCTGATACAGTTTGAAGCATTGGAGAACATGAAATTAGTGGATCCTAGCCTAAGTCTCCTGAGAATCGGAAATTGACTAGAACTAGTTGATTCCTGTGGCATCATGATTAATTTGTTTCAGTGAATTATTTCCATCTAAACTGATGCAATCCCAACCCATATTCTAGCGTCTACCTGCTATCCTTGTCCTGAAATATCTTTGAACCTTCACAAAATTATCTTAACAAACTTTCTCCTGCTTCAACCCAATGATCCACCCACATTACTTTTTCATAGTGCGTTTTATATAATTCTACTCTTTCACCAACCAGAATCAGTGTGTTGCTTTTCAGTTGGTTCACCTAATGTAGCTAAAGTTTGACCAACTTTATATCCATATTAACCTGTTTAAGAACTTCATACACTCCAACCAAAGAACTGACATTTCTTTGGTAACAACACCTTTCATTTCAGAAGAATTTTGATTCAACATGCGTCGCTACCTTACAAATGTCATTGCTTAGGAACCTGAAAAGCATGTGTGTTGGCCTTGGCATGCTCTTGTGGCTTCTGAATCCAAAAGAAAAAGGAAATTGGAGGGTAGTGGTAGCTTGTGATTCATCATTGATCCAAAACTGTGCACTCCTGCCTTATGTGTTATAGACACAATTCAATTGGCAATTCCTTGTCTAACTCATCTTGGATACAGCGGACCGGGAATCTTAGACTGACTTGACATTTTGTTGTGATGTATGACTTGGTGATTCAAAGATTTGGTGGATAGACCAACCGACATATTGGTGCAGGATAGCACCAAAATGAACCCATACTGAATGAAATCCATGAGATCAACCGTAACTGATCATGTTCTGGTATATCTCAAGTATAATAGGGTCGGTAACTTAATTTTAAGCTTCCTAACTTAGCTGCCAATCATGCATCTTAATCAAGGCATTAATCTAAATTAGCTAATAACCAATCCTGATTTATGAACATTCACTAGTTTGTTTGGTAAATTAACTCATGTGAAAAAAAAGCAAAAAACATTCTAGTTTCTTTTTCATTTGAGTTGTTGCATTATATGCCATGCTCCATAAACCCATACGGATATTTTACGTGATAGATAATATTACTTTCTTTCGTGATTTCTTGCTTATAGTTTTTACATGCATGCATGTTATCTAATGACCACCTCAATTTTGCTTCAGGTGAACGCCTAAGCCCTTGGGTAGCCGTGGGTTGCTTCGCCATGGGCATTTCCATTATTATCTTCTGAGCAACGGAGGTGGGTTTGGTAATTTACATTGTTTTTTTTAATATATCCTGGAGTGCATCTGCTTCGTTGACACATGTAGTAGAATGTAAATTTGTTGAGGTTGAAGAAAGATGTATGTGCTAACAGGAAGAAACCTTGTACGACATTCTTCGCCCATGGAATTGCAATGACATTTTTTTTTTCTAATGCTCTGATGTTAAATTATATGTGCTTAGTCGCATTCTTTTTTTGTTGAAGTTCACATTAATATTTAACTCCCTGTCGAATTCCATTGGCTTGCTGGGTGAACCGAGCTTTATCACCGGAAATCATATATGAACACCACGGAAGCGACATATATTTTGGAGTGGAGCTTCAACGTCGAAGAAGAAGAAGAAGAAGAACACACATCCCCCCTTCGGGTACTAATATGAGATACAGTCGTCAAGTCTTGGATCGATCATCACATGTCGCGATTCTCCGCGTTGCTGCCGCCGCCATTGATAGGGACGCTCACAATCTTGTTGGCGTCTCCCTTCACCACCACCACCTCCGTCAGCCCCAGCTCCGCCTTCCTCTTCTTCGCCTCCACCTGCCTCTGCGTCGACTTGTAATACATGGCGTACAGTACCAGCTGCGCCACTGCAAACATCACCCCCAGACCATTGGGAATCTGTGCAAATGGGAAACAGATCAGTGCCCGGGCCACCAGATCAGATGCAGTAAATTTTTTTTTTTGTTTCTTCTCAAGCCATCAATAACCAAGCCATTGATCGTACTCCAACTGCTGTGCAGTTCACATGGCATGTCTGTACCACACGGCCGGTGTGGGCCATTAAACTGGTTTCACTGCATGGGGTTGTGGAGTCGCTATCAAAGCAATGACAGTATTCCTATTTCAACTCACTGTGATGTACGGGTCGAAACGGATGAGTGCGTAAGCGGTCCAGCAAACGCCGTTGAAGAAGGAAGCAAGCGAGAGGGAGAGCGGCATGTACTCCACGCTCTTGCTCCGGATCACCATTTTCTGCAACACAAAATAATGCCCATCATCACTTTTGTCTCGAGCCCTAATTGTTGCCATCCGAAAAGGTTCACGGGATGAAAGGTCAGCATGCGTGGCGACACGTATACCGACGCATGAAGACGACGACGAGCGTCTTGTCCCGCTGTGCACCGATGCCGCAATAATTGCCACGGAAACAGTCCAGTTTTTGGCTCCGATCTCCTCCCAGGCCAGTCGTGCCGTGTTAGTTCACCATCACAGTCACATTTAGACCAAGCATCGATGATGGAGCCGACTTACCATGACGGATAAAGGAGCGGCGTACATCATGGTGCCGAAGAAGACGCAGAGGACGCCGACGATCATGGAGCGTCGCTCGTGGGTGTGCGCGAGCGTGAGCACCAGCAGCGCGACGACGCCGACGAAGGCGGTCTCGGCCAGCAGCATCACCAGCACCTTCAACCGTTTGCCGCCGGAGGAGTACACGATGAAGAGGAGGACGTAGGAGAGCTCGATGACCAAGCCTGACCCGTTGATGGTGATCACCAGCATGCTGTGGGGGTGCACCATGGGCAGGCCGTACACCACCCACATCATGCAGTTGAGCAAGGTGGCGACGTAGGGGATCGGCGAGAACTCCTGCACCGATCCCTTCTTCCATATCTTAACGAAGGTCGGGCTGTCGAAACATGACAAACACAAGATATTAATTTGCTCCCACATGAAGGTGAATTCTTAGTACATCAAATCCACGCTTACACTGGTGACAAAAACAGGCCCAGTGCAATTGCATTCCCTGCCAAAGTAGAGCGAACACATCACTCGCAAAGTGTATTCTCACCAATCAACAGACCAAAAAACTAAATACCAAGGATCAACTCGACATACCTAAGATTCCAACTGCTGTTCGAATGGCATCAGCAGAAACCATGATCACAGAACAAACAGAACACCAGACCTCTGAAACCTACTGAGGAGAAGATATCTCCAGGGAGAGGAGAAGGGGTGCTTAAATAGAGAAGGGAGGGAGGGAGGGAGTCGGTGAAGGATAATGGCTGCAACAGATGGAATGTAACACATGGAACGGAAGACCGGAGTTAAGGTGTGGATATGGATACAATGGCACTGTCTTCAAGATGTGGAAAACCCTAGCTAGTGCCAACCGACCCTTCCCCTGTTTCAAACTAGGGTTGCCTGCCCGTATTTGCTGCAAACTATATATTTACCTCATGCGGTTTCCACATCGTCGAGGCCAATGGGTAAGAAGCAAGCATTAATGGCGGTGGCGGATACGGCCAAGGCGAATGGGTAAGAAGCAAGCATTAATGGTGGAGGAGGATAAAAGCCTGCAACCCACCAACTCTTTCTCTGTGTGCGTTACTAGACTTGTCCATTTGTCACGTCTATCACCGGTAGTAACATAACATGGCCGGAATCATGATGTTTTGGCCATCCAACGCATTGCCATCTGTGGCTCCTCGGTGGTCAAATTTCTTCGATAAGTTCGCATGAGTTATGGAAGTGCATACCGTCGTAGAATGATGAGAAAAAGAAGCTGCTGATGTCAACAGCTTGACGCTTGTCTTTGATACGAATGCATCGTTCCTCTGTAGCTGTCACCAATATGATCTTCTCATAAATATATATTTGATTATTATGATAAGAGGTTGATATGAGGCCACGTGGACCACAGTCGACACATTACATCAGTGATGTGGCACTGATATGGACGTCAATTAGGAAAAGTTGACCGGACAAAATCGTTACTTTGTAATTGAAGAAGTCTCGACAGTTTCGATCTCCTTACACTGCAAAATGAATCTTTTTTCCACGTCACAATATCTTCGGTTCGGATGCATTTTGACTTAAGCTTCTAGAAAGAGTCTTTTACACTATAAATCGAGTTGACTTGGGACACTCACGTCAAACGAATGACTTAAATATTCTCTTATTAGAAACAAATAGCAATTCACCAGTAATATTAAATTCTACGATGAAGGCAGATTATAATCAAAGGCATATATAATATTGATTTGTCTTGAGATTTTGGCCAATATAAGATATCTAATAGTTCTGTGCATGCAAGGAGTTTATATGAATAAACTCATATTATGAGGGGTATCTTTGGAAAAAGACTCCGACACAGTCTAAGATTAGAAGAGCCTGCGGATAAACGTAACGCCAATCCAAGGTCACAGCAAATCGGCTCCGAAAGACGACAAAGACGGTTGTTTTACAGCCGGTTAGGGTTCAGCCGAACCAAATCCGGCAATGCTGACTGCAATGTTGAGGTCCTTCACCACCCTCCTCCTCTCCGCTCTCCGCCGCTCGGAGAGTAACAAGTTCCGGCCGCTCGCCATCCTCGTCCTCGGCGGCCGAACGAGCCACGGACGACAGGGAGCCATGGCGGAAGGAGGTCCTTCTACACGGGGAGGATCGACGAGATCCATGAGGTCCGAGGGAAGGACGGGGTTGGCGCGAAGATGGACTCGATGGGCCTAGAGAGGGGGAAGAGCATCACGATCCAGTCCGCAGCTACCTACTGCACCTGGAACGGATATCAGGTGGTTTTTCTCTGACTAAAGTTTGGAGTATTTATTTTAATCTTTTGGATGGTATAGGATGCTCTTCGACCGCTGACATAAAGTGGGTGTTACATGAGACTGAATTGCTGCTTAAGATTGTATAAGCAATTTCGGGTTTTGAAATGGTTCATGAACTGGTAACGGAACTAAGCGTACTGGACACTGACAACGGGACTAGAAGTCCTGACCTATTAATTGTGCACACAACAACTCAATCTCCGCAGAGACTATATCTTCTTAAAGTTCAAATTTTTTGGTTGCTTATATTAGATTGCATGGAACTTTTGCTATGTTTAAAAGTTACTGTGTCTGGTGCTTTGCCAAGCATGTGTTGGCCCCTGGATGACACTGTTCATGAACTGCCTTTTATATATCAGTCAAATGAGCATGATGTGGTGAACGGATGACATAAAATGTAGATTTACATGTAAGTTAAAGCTTATTAGAGATTCACAGTGATACAAAACAAAAATTCAAAAATAGAAATTCTCATCTGGCATTTTGAATTGCAATGCAGATTAATATCATTAATACTCCTGCCACAAGGATTTCACCATTGACCGAGTCAATACAACCTGCAAATCAAGGCACGAGTACTGGAGGAGCAACAAGGCAAGCTAAGCTATGACATCATAGTGCGGTGATGCAAAAAAAAATGTTATATCAGAATCTTATCTTCTTACCTTCTTGCAACAAAAAAAAAACTGATATGGAAGTCTCTTTAGGCAAAATCTAAGCTATGACATCATAGTGCGGTGATGCAAGTTCCAATTGGATTAGAAGAGGAATTTGAGGAGTTTGTAGATCTTGTAGATTTGAAAGCATATAACTTCCATGGAGCCATCGGGTGCACTGATATCCCCATTTTTCTCAATTACAAATATCTTAGAAAAATTCATGTTGATTGTTGCCATGTCTTCTTGACAATCACAGTGAGAGAATTGTAACAGCTGATATTCCACAACTTGGAGGCACCGGTTACAGAAAAGCGGTGTGAGCTTATTGAGGTTGTCTCTGAATTAGATGATAAACTCGCTGAAGCTTTGCTTAATGATGAACTGATATCTCCCGATGACATCAAGGTACACTATGAAGATATGCTCATGACATTGTTATATTCTGCACTATGAAGACTATATCTTCTTATGGTGAAAAGCATGGATTTAGTTTCAGCTCAATATCCCTCTCATTTGGATTATGAGGATCTAGAAGTCCTTAGACTTCTTGATAATGTTATCCTGTTCACCTTTATTCAACATATAGAGTTGACATGAAGTCAATTTAGTGTCTGAGAAGGTTGTTCTATGGTCCATGCGTTCTAGAGGTTGAATATTGGTTATGGTTCATGTCTTGTGCTAGAAAGCCATGCTAGCCTACTCTGTAGAGTATCTATGCTTTTTGTTTTATGGTACAAGAATTTGTTTTAGAACATGATCAGGTTCTTATCAATAATGTTGTTACTGAATCTATGCTTGGTACTTGATTGCTATTATGTATTAGTCACACCGATGCTTATTATGTTATGTTGCTTTCATCAGATGGCAATTCTTAGGGCAACTGTAGCATGCAAATTCTTTCCAGTCTACATGGGAAGTGCTTTCAAGAACAAGGTTAATGAAGACTTAGTTTCTTATGTACATTATTCTTTTGTTTCGTTTTCTTTTTGGTGTATGTGAAGCTTTTGCTAGGATTATCTTGCTTCCTCCTAGTTGGTCAATCTATATATTTCTCACTGAGTTATCTTGGTCTTAACTTATAATTTTAATATGATATGCTCAAATTACTGCTATTTTAATTTATAAGTATGGGCCTACTCGTATCGTACTGACAGCTGGTCGGTATACATTTACAGACTGATAAGATGAACCATGCTCAAAACTTTAATATCTATGATTTGCAATGATGTTGAGGTCCGTAATCATTATTTGGGAACATTAGTAAGAAGAGAAGGAGGAGAAGATTTTGAAAAAGAAGAAAGACATTGTGTTTCATGTTTGGAGGTGGGAAAGTTGATTAGTATTGAATGGGTAGAACTCTTGCACAAAAGATTTCTTAAGTAACATCCTTGGATTTCTTCGGTTTCACATGTCGGTGTATATGATGAGCCACGTGATATTATCATGTTGGGCATTGTAATTGAGATCAGTGGGTTGCCTATTCATGGGGCTTGAGGACTGCAGGTGTATATGATGGGCCTATGCATGGGCATTGTAATTGTAATGGTAACCATTTATTTTAGTAGATCCAATGGTAGAGAACCATACTATTTAACCTATTCATTTTGGTTTGAATTACTAAACCAGGAATGAGCTAAATCGTTCTAATTTTTTGTAACATTAATGGTCCCAGAAAAAACTGGGGAATACTTCAAACCAGTTCAGTTGTTCAGTTGCTTAGGTTAATTGCTCACACCTACTAGATAGGTTGGTCCTTATGTTATTTATATTATTTGAAAATTAAAATTCTCTCTGCCAAAGCTTTTATGTTGATCAATCATCTTATACTATACTGTAATTCCTGTTTATGTATATCAGTTGAGGAGTATGTTAAAAATATGTTGACGACCGTTCATCTTATCAGCATCATCACTTTCTTTGTTTTTTTTTTTTTTCACTTTGAGCAGATATATTGAACCTCTACCATTGGGTTCTCTTACGAAGTTTGAAGTTGAGAATCTTATCATTGGGCAAGCAATACCTTCAAACTTCATTCCAGCAATTGAGAAAGGGTTCAGAGAAGCTAGCAACTCGTGGGTAATACACGTGTTTTCTGCTTAGTTCTTTTGAACATTAGGTTTAGTATGAATATTGCCTTGAACATGGGTTCACTAATTGGGCATCCTGTTGAAAATGTTCTGAGTAGTATTGACAGATGGGGCATCACAAGCTGTTGATTCCAGTGAGCTGGCATTTAAGCTAGCAGCTATATATGCATTTAGACAGGTCAACAACTACTAGTGCTATTGTGCCTATTCTCTATATTCTGTAAATTTTGCAAAATCTTTAAACTTGTGGTTTGCCATAATTGAAATTTTTTTATAGTTACATTTCTATCTTTATGGAAAAGTTATACTAGACAGTGTATTTCTCGAATAGTGTTATTCTTCAGCCGAGCCTGTCATATTGGAACCCGTGATGAAAGTGACATTGAAAGTGCCATCAGAATTCCAGGGCGTTATTACTGGTGATATTAACAAGTGAGCGTTGTGCGTTATGATTGAACTGATACTATTTTATCTCATCTCTCTATATTGTGTATGAATAACAGGAGGAAAGGTACGATTGTTGGAAACGACCAGGATGGTGATGGTACTGTGGTTGTCGCTCATGTATGTAGATTCCAATCTTCTCCTTTGAACGATCTGCTAACATGTAGAAATTGCATATTGATGCGACCTGGCCAGTAACTGTGGTTGTCGCCCATGTATGTACATTCCAATCTTCTCCTCTGAATGATCTGCTAACATGTAGAAATTGCATATTGATGCGGCCTGGTCAGTAATTGAGATCGACCTGCAATTGATGTGGAATGAACATTCGGATAGGATGATCAAATTTTACATTAATATTATTTTTTTTATTGAAAGTGCCTTAAATACTGATTCTCTGGCAAACAACTATCTAGCCATAAATGTCCTCCGGTATCAACGCCGTTGATGCCACAAAGTGCTGGTCCGACTTCAGTATCATTGGCAGTGGCTTCAGCAAAACCTTACAGAGCTGTATGCCACATCTCTCTTGTTTCCTATCCGCCCTAATAATAATAATAATAGGAGTTCCATTGAAGGTTGCTCTTAGCCAGCAAACAGCCAAAGTCTTTGGGCACTGTTCCCGTCATTCCTCCCTCAATCTCCGGATGAACATGCGGCAGGAGATAAGACACCAGAAAGCCAGTGCCCGTCTGTCTCTTCCTATAAATTACACCGGAAGCTACGTCCCCAGTTCGCCATCTCTACCTCCTTCCTCCCATGGCTTCCGTCGTTGGGCACTCGTTGCTAACCTTCCTCCTCCTGTTCGCCGTCTTTTCCCCTCATGTCCAAGCGCGAGAGAGTCGGGCCTTCAGCAAGGTCACGCGGGACGAAACAGTCGTCGTCCCCGAGGAGACGCCGGCTGTTCAAGTCGAGAAGGCAGCGAGACTTGGCAAGGAGACGTATGGCTACGGTCACAACAGCAACGGGGACGCTCACTACTACGACGCTGATGGTTTCTCTACGAGCTTCCCCAACACCAAACCCAATGCGAAGTATGGAAGCTATAAGAACAGAGAATCAATGTACCGCCCAAACTACGGTTACAGGAAGGATCAATATGGAATGAGCGACACCAGGTTTCTGGAGAACGGGAGGTACTTCTACGACGTTAATGCTGAGAGGGGATACGGAGCATATGCTGGTATTGGCGTAGGTGGTGGCGATCACCATGGTTATGGAGCATATAATAGCGAGGGAAACAGGTACGAGGGCAACCAAGAAGGCGAGGAGTACGTTCCATGAGCGACCCAACAGAGCAAATGGAGTGTTCGCTGCTGTTCTTTCTTTCACTCGCATGCATTTCCGTGTTTGGTGATGCCAACCAAAATATCTATCAATCGTATGGGTAATGCTAAAATTAATAATAGAAGGGAAAAAATATTATTATTGCGTTTGCCGGGAGTCGAACCCGGGTCTATTGCTTGGAAGGCAATTATCCTAACCGTTGGACTACAAACGCGGCTGTGTTACTGTTATTTATAGTATATAAGGAATTAATAACTTAGCACAATGACATAATATCGTTTAGCTCATTTGCAGGTTGAGAATATTATTCGACCACAACCTCGGCGTCCAATTCAACACCAAAATACGTCTCCAGTATTAATTAATACTTGAATTATATTCAATTATCAAGTGATATAATATATATATATATATATATATATATATATATATATATATATATATATATATATATATTTCACCTTAATATATTTTATAATTTATAGTCTTCAATGACTTGGACGAGGGTGTTAGAGATCTTCTATAGTGGCATGGAAGGTAAATCATTGGGCGAGGATGTCTTCGCTCTTTTCTCCATTTTCTTTTGTTAAGTATTTTTTTTTATTTTTTATTTAGATTTTCTTCGAATTCTTTGTTGTCTTCTTTCATGTTTAATCAAATTTATGATTTGTTTGAGGATTTCATGGAGTTTAATGCAAAGTCTTTCTGAGGACCTTTGTAAACATTAGTCTTTCAGCATTTTTAGTTATTGTTTTTATCCTTTTTTTTTTTCCCGTTGGACTTTCTCAAATTGATTATTTCTAACCTATAAAAATATTCTCTTTCCCTTTTAATTTCTTATTTGGCTCAATGTTATTTTCTTTTTCATTTCTTATTAGAATCATACATTGTATTGTATGAATCCTCGTCGAGGGCCTTGAACCATTCAACGGGAAATCCTTTAGCTATCTCTCCACGGTGACATAATGTTCAACTCCTTATTAAGATGATAAAAATTACTTTCATATGGATATAAATGATTAGACTTCCCATTTAATATTGAGAATATTATTTTATTTTACACATTGTATCTATTCTTAGATGACCTTTTTTTTAAGAGAGGTAAGTTTGTACACAAAGTGTGTTTGGCTTGGAAACCATTTTCAGGATATCTTTTATGATGTTGCTTATTTATTTTAAATATGATTTAATTAGTTATTATTCTTATTCTAGTCCTTATGTCTTAATTATATAATCATCTATTTTTATTGATTCTACAATTTCATCGAGTTTGGAGCAACCTTGGTCAAGAGTGGAGCGACCCTTTTACTGGGTCGAGGGCTCTTTTCTTTACCAATTACTCCTACCATAGGGGATGGAGACATTTTTAGTCCTTAAATCCATATCTATTGAAGATAGGCTTTACAATAGTAGTTGGTGGTCGAGAATCATCATCCTAATCTTATCCACCTTGGACCAGAGGTAGAGTTACATGTCGTGCACATGCCTCCTATGACATCAATTGCTCTAGGATATAAGGATGATGTTAAGCTATGTTATTATGATTTTAGTGCCAAGATTTTTCCTACGCGAGTTGGTGTTTCCCTTGGACAGTTGCTTATGGTGTCAAGGCATATCTTTGACATGATGACTTCTGTAAATCTCATTGAGATACCGAATAATCCTAAAGAGTTGATCATTCTTACTCGTGTCCTTATGTTGATGGCTATGTTGTCTCCTCCTTTCTAGACCTGGGGAGCTGCGGGGTTTCATCTCAGCTATCCACATCTTCTCGGAAGACTATCGATCTATCTATTGCATTGAATCATCTTGAGAAAAGCCAAGTCCTAGCTACTATGTGCATTAATATTGCTATTAACCAACTTGTAATATCCTACTCTTAGTTTCATATATACCATATATGTATTACTAAAGCAGGATGCACATTTTAATTTATTATTATGATCAACAGGAGTATAGCGAAAAATGATAATCCTAAAACATGCTAACTTGCTAAATAAAACGATAGGGCTTCTCTTATATATACTAGTGTTTGAGACTTGTACATAATTATAATATTTAACCAAAAGAAAATACATACACATGTCCAAAATTTATAAACACAAAATTGTTTGTAATTCTCATCCATATCTATGTTGGCATAGGCTCGTACCCATTACTTGGGTGGGGTCTTAATATCCTTACATGATGAGTAATAACTCAATAAGTATAAGTTATTATAATTTTATTTAGGTAAGTATATATTATATTATAATTATAATATATTAAATTTATAAAATATAAAATATTTAATGATAAACACCTTATCTTATAACATAAC